CTTTCTATCTCTCTGTCTCTGTTTTGTTTTTCTGAGCATGCACCCTATAGCAAAAACCACTCCCAAAAAAAAGGGAAAAAAAAGTGATATATATATATTTTTTTATTAATTTTATATTATAATCATCTTCTGAAAAGTGAATGAATGGTGGGATTATGCTTTTGTATACTTAGAAAACACTTTTATAATTTTCTAAAAATTATAAACTTAGAAAAAGTAAACTTAGAAAAAGTTTCAATAACCAAATGGGATTACCTGGACAGCAGACAGGCCCAGGAGAGAGAGATGGTCCCCCATGGCTCTTCCAGTGGGGAGAGTATGCCCCAGACACCAACAGGCTTCCTCTGACAAGGCACAGCCTCTGCAGCTTGGCCTAAACCACATCCGAGCTGCTTGGAGTGCTCCTAAAAGGGGTGAGGGGGGTAGTGAAGACTTCCTTTGCCAAGAAAGTCCCTGAGCTTCAAGAAGAAAATAATCAGGGAACCAGCAGTTAGCGTAATGGCTATGTCGCTGGACTCCCACATAGTCGACCGCGGTTCGCGTCCCGGACCCGGTGGCTTAGAACTCACGCCGGGCGCGTGTGCGTGCGTGCCCAAGATCCCGAGAGGAGAATGGAGGAGAAGGGATTGCGGCGTGACCATCCCCCCTGGGGGGTGATTTCTCGCTTTCTGTCTCTATGTCTCTCTCTGTCTGTCTGGCGAGCGCACACGCCCTATAGCAAAAATCTCTCCAAAAAAAAAAAATTAAGAAGAAAATAATCAAGCAAAGAAATAAAAGCTAGGTTCATGCAGATAAAATGAAACTAGTGCATAGAGGGAGAATGGAAATTATTTGATGTAAGGAATGCAAAGGCAAGGTTGAGTCCCACGCTCACCAGGCCGGGGAGACAAGGTAGGAATGCAAGGAAGGCCCGGTCTCCCACAGGAGCAGGCAGCAGGGTGGAGTCCTGGAGGCCCCAGCCTGGCCACCCTCTGCCAAGGAAGACACCAGCCACCGCACTCCCTGGGGACTTGCGCTGTTCCCAAGTGCTCTTCGTACCGGCCTCGACGGGCGTGGGTGACACCCAAGAACGCGCTGTGCTTAAGGGGTCCTAAAGGAGCCTGGGGGCAGGGGGCTGAAGCCAGAGCCTCACAGGTTAGACCAGAGGCAGAAGAAAGCTGACTTGCCTCAGGCCCCAGCGTGAGGGAGAGGGCGTCTAAGCCCAGGGCCTACTTCATGTGCTGCATCACCCCCTCTCCTGGGGTCTCGCGGTTGAGAGGCCAGGACCCTCCTTACTGGCTGCATGACAGGAGTGGGCACCTGGCCAGGGCCAGGCAGTTCGCTCGTCTCGGCCACAGGGACTGTGCTGCCTGCCCCCGCGGCCACAGGAGAAAGTCGGCACAGGCCACCATGCACGGGTGTGGCTGGCTGTCATCATTGGTGCTGATGGCAGACTGACTCCAGGGGTAGGACAGGGTGTGGGCCAGAGCCTCGGCCTGGGGGCGGGTGGCAGGCAGGTCCTCTGCTCCCCGATTGTCGTCTCCCATCCCCACCCTCACAGACCCCTCTGGCTTTCACTCCCACCTCCGGTTGGTATCACCCAGAACTCCCTTTGGGCAGCAGCCACCCCCATACAATGTCAACTGACGGAGACTAGCGTGTGCCCTCTGCCAGCCTGTCTGGAAATCGGTGGCTCTTCAAGCGTCAAGGGCATGGCTGGAATCTGAGACTCTGACGGGCCCTGGGAAAGCGCGGGGACAGAACGCCTGGTTTCTCTGTGCTGGCCGGGGCCACCAGAACTCTCTCTGCTGTGTGGTTTTGCAGAGTCCATAGCCAGCCTCAGGCCAGTGTGTCGGGAGGGAGAGTGGGAGGCGCGGGCCAGGGCGGGTGTACTGTGAGGTCCTGGAATGTGATGTCGGGTGGTGGGGGACTTCTAAGTCTCCACTTCTGGGGCCAGGTACGTGGGTGAATGGGCTGAAGTGCATCCGTCTACACGCACCTGTTCTCGTGAACCCACACCCCTGTGGGGATTGCACTTGCATGTGTGGTTTTACCCTGAATTAAACTGAGCCACTGGGCGAAGAGCTTGGCTGCTGGCAAGTGCCGTGGAAAGGCGCGGCTGAGACGGGGCCAGCTCAGGCAGGGCGTCCTGCCGGGCTCCGTAGGCTCCTCTGGCAGGAAGCTGTCCTGGGCCCGCTGTGACCACAGAGGACTTTATCCTGGACGGGAAGTCTGCCTGGCTCGGGCCCAGAGGACAAGAGTCCAGAGTTACCCGGGAACAGCCCCTAAGGGAAGGTGGACACGGGTGAGAGTGGCCGGCTGCCCCTTCCCACCCCAGGACAGGTGGCTGGAGGCAGATGCACAGGGGCGTGTGTCCAGACACTGTCACCCATCACAGCAGGGCAGCGGCCATCTGCCCCCGGCGGGGCCACCATGTCCTTAACTCTCACTCCGCCCCTCTTTCCACCGTTCTCCCAGCTGCTCCCTGCGGCCCAAGCCAGCCTCCCAGACCCGATGCCCGGCCCCACTGCCCCGCTGACACACACTGCAAAGGCCGGGTCACCTGTGCCATCTAGAAGCCTGGGGTGGGGGCCCCACGGTGTGACTCCCATGCCCCGTTACGCCCTGCATCCTCACATCCAGCCTAACACAGGGACTCGCAGGGCGGCTCTGGTGGGGCCTGTGACAGGGCAGACACGGGCGGGGGGTGCTCTGGGAGGCCATGTGTCAGCAGCTGCAGGGTCTGCACAGAGGTGGGGTGGCGTGGGGGACAGAGGACCCCTGAGATGGAACCAAAGCAACTTCCTCTCAGGGAAGCCGTCATTCCTGCAGGAAGGGCCAGGGCCCTGTCTTCTTCTCACCACTCCGGGGCTCCCCCCGCAGCGTCCAGGACGCTCCACCTGCTGAGGAGCGGGTTCTCCTCCCACCTGTGCACACACAGGGCGCTGTGCCCACAGCCAGAGGCGCCCGGGAGGGCGTGGGTGCGACAGAGTGGGGCGGCTAGCGGAGAGAGCAGGGCTCTCGCCCAGGGTTCTGGGGCTGGAACCCGAGGCGAGTCCAGACCACAGAGCCCCAGGTCTCTGAGTCGAGCCTCTGGGACGCACAGGCGTGAGCTAATGCCTGCTCTGGACTTTGGTCTGCACTCTAGCCGCCGACACACAACACGTGTGAAGGTGCCACTCTCGCCCAGGGTTCTGGGGCTGGAACCCGAGGCGAGTCCAGACCACAGAGCCCCAGGTCTCTGAGTCGAGCCTCTGGGACGCACAGGCGTGAGCTAATGCCTGCTCTGGACTTTGGTCTGCACTCTAGCCGCCGACACACAACACGTGTGACGGTGCCACTGGGGGCCTGGCCCTTCGGCATCCCACACGGCCGCGCCGCTAGGCTCTCCTTGTCAGCCAGCCACAGGCAGGGCACCTGCCAACAGCCCGAGGGGCCCAGCGTCAGAACCATGGCACTGAAGGGGCTGGCCTCTGACTGATCTTGGAGCAGAGCCACCAATGAGGAACATCAAAACGGGGTCCAGGGAACAGAATAAGCTTCCGCTGTGTGAATTTTCCACTGAGATCCATGTGTTATAGCAGCAAAACCTAGCCTATCGTTAAAAACGGCCCACTAATAACAGTGGAGAAACACGGCTGCCAGCCCACGAGTGGCCGAGGGTACGGTTAACATCACAGCCCCACGCTGGCTGCGCTCCCGGGAGGAGCCGCTGCTGTTCGGCCTTGCTGGAAGCGCACAGCAGCCACCCCGTCACAGAAATCCCAGACGCGCTGACGTAGGGGACAATCTGCAAAATAACCAGCGGGTCATCCTCTGCCAAGGTCGTGAGATAGACTCCCGAACGTCACAGATCCAGAGGCTTAGGAGACATGACAGTTAAGTGCAAAGAAATGGATCCTGGACAGCAAAGCAGCAGTCTGTATCCTCGTGCCAGCCAGTGGGAAGCCAGGGCGCAGGCCACGGAGGGCGCTCAGCGCTCACTTCCTGGTGCCAGGGACTGCGCTGCACTCACGTCAGACGCAAATGTGGAGAGAAGCTGGGCGAGGTAGCCATAGAAACTGTCAGTTTTCACCTTTTTGAGAAATGTAGCGTTGCAAAGGAGAATCTAAACTAAATGACAGTGACGTGTCAACTTGCTGTCAGACGACCGTAGGATGGCCATGCCGGACAGCGCCCGCCTTCAGCACTTCCATCAGAGTAAACCCCCTTCTCCAACGTCCAGCTCAGAACCTGCCCTGGTCACTAACCCTGGACCTCTGTGTGGAGGGGACTGAGTATTTGCGAGGTCAGTGACCTTGCGTCTGACTGCACACTCTCTGGGGGGACTGTGGCTCTGTAGCCATCCGGTGACTCAGGACACCTCCCCGTTGGGCACCAAGCCCAGCATTGCTGGCCGCCTGGTGCCTCGGTGTGTCCCTCCCTGGGGCGTGGAGGCAGGGGGAGTTTGCCCGCCTTCAGCAGCCCCTCTGCACCCCTATTGGGTACCCTGGATGGCAATCCTGCTTAGGCTATTCCGTGCAGGCCTCTGACCACAGCCAGACGATTGCCGGGGACAGAGGACGTTGCTGGAGCGTCTCTGCTGTGCAGGGGTCAGCACGGCATCATGGGTACAGCTGGGGCACCCCTTCTGTGCGAGTGTTGGGGCAGCAGCATGGGGGCATGGGGATCCCTGGAGGTGCAGGGGCAGGGCTGCAAGCAGAAGATGCCAGTAAGGTCAAAGGGTCAGCTCCTCAGAAGCAAGGGGGTCAGGGCATGGGCATGTCCTCAGAACGCAGAGACCGGCAGGCCCGTTTCACAGGCAGACACAGAGGTGGCACTGGACGGCAGCCCCAGGTACACCCAGCACAGAGCATGCAGGACAGCTTTAGCCATGGTGAGGACCCACACTTTAATGAGGGAGAGTGACCCACTATGGGCCTGGCCTGGGGCTGTGAGGCCACTGACAGAGCAGATACGTGAGGAGAGGTGGGGTCAGGAGCAGGGCCATCTGTGGGGAGAGGCAGGCACAGGCCCGGGGCTCAGAACAGCAGCCACAGCAGGAGGAGGCTGAAGACGGCCCAGGAGGCGGGCACAGTTTTGGAGCCTGCGTCAGGCGTGGTTGGTGGCATGGTTGGTGGCATGGTTGGTGTCATGGTTGGTGGTGTGGATGGTGTCATGGTTGGTGTTGTGTTTGGTGGCATGGTTGGTGTTGTGGCTGGTGATGGAGTGGTGTCCGTGCACTCAAACTTCTGGAAGATGACTCCTCCCACCGTCTGGTTTCCGGCAGACAGGAGCTGGCAGGTGGCGTTGCTGACATTGGAACAGCCTCTCAACACGAGCCTCGTGGACTGGGTGTCTGTGAGCACAGAGGAGGAAGTCAGGATCCTGCCTGCCCTTGGCCGCCTGCTGGCTCAGCAGGCAGACACTGGCCTCCCGAGTCTGCACAAGAGGAGACAGCCCAGGACTCGACTTTGTGTGGTAACGGCAGAGAGGCCAGGGCCAAGGCCCACACCTCCTTCTCTACCTGACCCTGGAGGACACCAAGGCCCTCAAAAGTGAGAGCCACACCAGACCCCAGACTCGCTTCTCTGGCCCAGCTGGCAGAGAAAGGCAGGGAGGGCAGAGAGCAGCTCCTCTCTCTGGGCCTGAGGGACCTGCTCAAGTTCCCTAGAGACAAGGAGAAGTGGCCGACGTGGACCTAGAGTGGCCATGGTCATGGACATAGAGTGGCCGTGGCTGTGGATGTAGAGTGGCCGTGGCCGTGGATGTAGAGTGGCCGTGGACGTGGACGT